TATATATATATATATATATATATACATTAATTCATTTAATTTATAAATTTTTAATTTCCGCTTTAATATCATAACTTATAAATAATGAATATTTCAATATTATGTTTTTAAATTATCAACTTTTAACGTTTAGTTAAATTTGAGTTTTTTTTTTAATATTGAACATTTATTACAAATTGCCTACCGAATAATTTTAACAACAAAGAATTAAATTGTAATTTGTGTTGCGAGAGAAGCGTAGTGAAAGATAATATTAATTTAGCGTTTACATAATTGCGATAAAATAAGCATATACAGTGCAAGAATATTGTTGGAAATTAATAAAACAAAAGGTTTGAAATTAATATTTCGTGCGGGATTAAAGCCGTGTCTAGGATAATATAGGTTCTGTTCTTTTTGAAGCATCCTGTAACCATCTTCCGGTTGTTAATCGCACACAAGCGACCCGGTTTACATTCTTGGACAGTGACGTGCTTGTAACGTACACCCGTACGTTCGGTGACGGAAAAAAAACGAACAGAATTGTGGCTCATCTCTTTTTTTCACGCGCTTCGAATACAATTCACAGTTAACGCGTATAGCGATACGTGCTGCTGTACGATTGAATGAACGAATCGATTATTCATGGACGCAGATAGCGCGCCGCGTTTCCATCGTTCCTTTTTCCTTTTAATTATTTTTTTCCCGCGCAGCGAGAAGTGTAACAGAGAGTTAACAAATTATTCAAGTCCCGAATTTAAATGAGACAAGGAGGAGCTGCGACAACTGTCACATCCGGCTTCTCCCACGGATTTATGTACTGACGCTTCGCGCGCTCGTCTAATTTCCCAAAGAAACCAAATTCGAATGCAGTCCTTACAGAAATCCAATTTAACATTGGTCAATATATAATACCGGAAATTATATTTATTTCAAGTATGACGACCACTGAACATGAATGTTTTCGATACTCGAAATAAGTAATGAATCATTATTTTCTAGTATTATAAATTTATACGAAGGAAAGCGAAATTTCGTAAATAAAATGAGCATACGAAGCTCCGCGCACGATTCCTGCTGCGAGCTTCGTCATAGCTTTCGCAACGCAGATGATAATAATGACTATCAGAACGATCACGTACCCAGCGCCAGCTCGACAATCGTCTCTCCCGTTCCGTGCATCCGGCAGCGCAGTTCCTCGGGAACAGGCGGAAGTGCCACCGCGGTTTCTCCGCGGAGCGGGACGCGCTGGCTGACGCGCGCACGCGGACGTGTCGTGCACTCTTTCCCTCTTGAGGCGCGATGACGCCGTTATTGTCACCAGCGCCGGTGTAAATTATCAGCAATTAGTCCACGATGCCACGGTAAGATGATAGCCTCTTCCCCCCTCCTACCCCTCGAACGTAAGAAAGCGCGCTTCGCCGCCAAATGACGCAACGTCGCGTCACCGCGGAACGACGTGCCGCAACTACCGCCACGCGACCGAAGCTCTGTCGTAAAACGCCGATGCCGTCGGCAAGAGACGTGCCGGCGACTCGCAAGATGGCGGCCGCGTCTCTGTCACGTGCGGCGAGTCATGTCGCGGCACCGTACCAGCCGTAGCATCTATATATCTATTATGTAGATACAATGTGTATTACACACATTATTATTATCATTATTGTTATTATTATTATTATACGTGTTACATTTACGCGTTTCGCGCGATGTCCGTCTATTCATCTTCTACAGATATACCCGTAAATCTTGCCCGCAGAAAGCGTTTAATGAATGTGACAAAATATCCGTCCGTCATTTGAGGTATGTATATGAAAAAAATGTTTCCTCTTTTTGTAATTTATTTTCTATTTATCTTTGGAGTTAATATGAGGTATATGTATAGCTTGAAAAAAAAAAGGGAAAAATGTTATCTTCTGCTATTGTCGTGCAGGAATGAAGGAAGAGCTTATAATAAATTTATAATTAAAAGAGATAAAAGGATAAAAACTCACGTCGCTCATTTATACCTTAATCTCTCGTAAATATGCTTAAATAAATTTAGGTATGAAATAATATCCGATGAGTGGTAAATGATCGATTACAAGTAAATAATGCGGAATGATACATGAGAGTAGCGTACAAAAAAGTCCTACGTTGCTAAAGATTTGGTATATAAAATCTCCTCTAATTGATTTCCGTGGTTTTACTTGGACTGTAGGGCATCGTCTCATCGTCGATCTTCCGCAACCGTTGCAGCTCCGCTTGCCGCGTCCTGAAATACAGCGTTAATAGCGTTTTAGTCGCAATCACACAGAATGCATCTCGGAATTAACGACGAAGCGCATTCGATACCTCGCTAAGATCTCCTCCTGTTCTCGACTGTCCTTGCGGCTCTTCAGGGCTCGGTATCCGACACAAATGACTACCAATATAATGGGGATCAAGCAAGCGAGCACTATGCCGGTGGTGATGCCTGCCTGACGGGAACTGTATTCCTGCTGGCCTGCATTTGCACATAATAAAATACATCACATGAATGCATAAAAAGAGTAATCAGGTGATCGAAATTTTTTTGATGGAAACGATTTGCATCACATCTAAGTCACCAGTTGGAGGCGAAAGAGCACGATCTGACACAACCCTCCCTTTGGAACAATGTATTGTTTTTCTGACATAGTATAATAAAGGGGATATTTTATGTAGATTGAGTCGCTAGCAAAAGAGAAATTTTATGTAGATTGAGTATACGAAAATGTTTGTATTCATAGAAGAAGTGAGAGGAAACCTCACGAACACATTTAAAAAATCTGTATACGAATTTTCGCGTACTTAAATAATCTAGTTTATCAAAAATTAAATATCTAAAATTACCAAATCAATATAATTTATCGCAAAGTCTCGAAATATTAGGCCATTAATAAATTTTGCGCTTCGTCGTTGACAGCTTGTGATTGATTTAATCCTACTAATAATATTTAGTCCTACTAATTATATTTATTATTATTAGATAGATTTTTTGCAAAGATATAAATAAAATATTTAAATGAGAAATAGAAAGAGGAGAAAGGAAGATAGGAAAAATTCATAATTCTGGTGGAAATTTCCATTCCATTCTAATGCTGTTATAATACTGCATAGTAATGATATGAATTATTTCTTTCTTTGTTATCTCAAACATTCTGTGCATGCATGTGGAATAGAAATTTCCCGTCATCTTATGTAATGATGTATAAAATTTTATTAAGACAAATTCTTTTACAATATTTCTTGATGTAAACACAAGTATACAACATGATTAAACTTTGCTATAAATGCTATTATTGCAATTGTATAAATCGATTATACTATTAAATAATTGTTGTCGCGTTTAACTGTCGCTTAGAGTAATGTAATGTTCGAGGTATTATGTTAATTGACGCTAGGTTATCATTAATAATGAGATAATATGTATACACTGAATACAATTATAATAATATTGTAACTATTTCTATTCCACAGCAAGAACAGTATATATAATATTTCTATTATTTCTATTATCTACAAAATACTATTATCTACAAAATACTAATGTGACATCGAACGATACGGAAATGATAATGGAGTTATGTTTGAAATATCATTTGAATCTTCGTACAACAAAGAGACTTCGGCAGCTGCTATTTTTCATGATAAATTTCGATCAATCGCGCGTCAAATTAATTGATATTTGATCTACGATCGACATTAATTCTACGTATGCAAGATGTACGATATTCGAAATTGAAATCAAGATGTATTGTCATGGTCACGTACACACACAGATGCTAATTCAAAATGACGCGTGGAAATAAAGCAATTTCGCCTGACTGGAATTCCTTCGTTTCTATTATACTGTTGCGTGCTACATATCGATAATATCTGAACGTCATCTAAACGTCACTCTCTTTTGTAGGGCTGCCTGTTTTCCTAATCGAGTCCGTGCCCGAATCCGATCCCGCGGGCGAGATAGGCTCCTTCAGATCCCATTCTTTATCCTCGAACTCAATGTCCGGCCTATTGGGCAAGGGTTCGTTTGTGCGGTATACCCTGTCGTAACTACGGCGCTTCCTAGTGCCGCTATTAGTTTCAATAGTGCTAGTGTCGCTAATTGGAGTAATGGCCCTATCGTCGTACGGCTTGTTCTGCTTCGACAATGTGGATTCATTGTCGATACCAGAATAACGCCAAGATTTCATGGAACCTCCCCGCGCCTGGTTTTTTCTCAGATAAATAAAGCCACCGACGGCGCAGGCCAATACGGGAATTATCACGGCGCTAATAATGCCCATTACGGTCCACGCTGTACGTTGAACGTACTCGATGTGACCTATATTTATATCAATAAGTGTCAATTATAGCACGAGAAAGGAGAAAACATATTAAATTTAAAATCTCCTTGGAGGAAAGAAGGAACGGGATTACGTTATAGCGAGGGAAAAAAACATCAGAAAAATAAGGGGAAAAAAAAAGAAATAAAAATAAATTCAAATTTTTCAACACGTCGTTTGTTAGGCAATTTTATGAACTCGGTAAGAATAGACTCTTGTTAATTAATCGCTCGACCGTAAACTTAGACTCGATTTTAACTTTTAAAACAAATTGATGGAATTCGTGTTTCGTCTCGAGTTAATTAGTCTGCTAAATGCACATTAAATACTTTCTCTACACATTGTATCTTATTGCATTCCTTGTTTTCCTACCTCACTTAAGACCACCATTAAGCAGATAGACGGTGAGATTGCAGTGAGAAATTGATGCGTTAAATAATAGCGTAGGAATACTTACGAAGGCATTCCGTGTATCCGTATTCCGGTGTGTTCCATCGTCCCTCCGGTGTGCATACTCGACGTTGATCACCGATCAATATGAAATCCTGATTGCATTCGAAGCTCACTTTCGTTCCCGGGACGAACAGGAAATTGCTCTTACGTCCGAACCGGGGTGTCTCCAGTATACCGCAGGAAACAACTTGAAAATTAAAATGTTACATATGTAATAAGCGTACAACTTATAAAAAGTTCTTTAATGTATTCAGATTAGGCTTATAATGATTGAAATGATTGTCACGCGGATTTACTTACTTTCCTTTTTATTCAACGCTCTGATTTGGGTATAGGTATCGTAGTAATTTCGGGTAAAGTGAGCTAAATCTCGATTTAACGTCATAACGTAGTCATATTGACACTGATACGATTCGCCGCACAGATCAATTGCGCGATTTATGTCATACGTTCTATTCGGTGGGAGTATTTCTGTCGGATATTTTCGAAATTCCGGCTGGAACGTCCGATTAGCGTAATAACTCGCCGTTCTACCGAATTCCCTATGAAATAAAGCTGCCCCCAATAGTTTGCTCTCTTTATCCTCTAACATCCAATGTATCGCGAAGTCGGTATGAATAGTCTCTGAATGATTCACGCTACCGATTGGGACTTGATACCCGGTTGGACTCGTCAAATCATCTATAGGATCGAAATTCCAAATGCCGAATAATCCTCTGGTTTTGTTCTAGAATGAAAAGAATCATATCTTTTAATACGCTTAGTAAAAAAATTAAATAGAAAATAAATTTTTGAAAAATAAGTATTTAGTATATTTTATACTATTTCACGCAAATAGTATAAAATGTTCCTTGACTTTAATCCGCTGCAAATACTAAGAACGATCATTTCTTACCAAATATGTCCATGGTAAGTACAGTCGAGCGGATAAATAGCCTTCATTCTCTACGACTTCTACGCCAGCACCAGTGTCGAACATGACAATAACTTCGCTCTGATTCAATATATATGTTGGAGTATAAACGACGACCCCGGGGAAATGTTGAAACTTTAATGACGGTCTATCAAAGTATATTCTTTGACCATCCGCGAAGACGTCGAGCCGGTATCGCCACTGCGCGTGTTGAGGTCTCAAGCGAACCTCGATAATGGCAGAATTATTGCCCCTCACTGCAATACATAATGCAGCGATATTAATATTAGATACCGGACAACTGCTTTAAAAGCTTAATTTTAGTCTGAAAGTTAATTAAGCTTTTTCAAGAACTTTCATGTACTATACAATAGCCGAGTCTTACTTGCTACTGAGGTAAGATGCGTCGCCATCACCTGGCCGTGTATGTTATTCGGCATTTGCTCGAATCTGCCCTGCACATCGAGCTTATCTCTGACATCATTTACTCGTAGCAAAACAAATTCGCCCTTGCCGTTAAACGTGTACTCCACGCCGTCGAACGTAACGAAGTGAGGGTCGCCGAATATCGTCGACACTCCCGGCGATTGATACGCGATGCAATCCTGCGATGGCCTCCTCTCAAATCGGAATGTCTCGCAACCGACAGCCTGCTCTTCCTGCCAGAGACAGCACGTGTACATAGGCACTACGTCGTGGTACCAGTGCGAGAGAGTCGGGACCTTGTTAGCTTCGTTCCACGGGAAGTATCCCAAATTGTGAGATCGATGCGGCCGCGAGCCCCATTGCTGATCGTAGGTCAGCATCAGATAACCGTTTCTGTCGTAACAGCATTGTTGTTCCGAGCCATCCAGACTGAAATACCAAGACATAAGCTACAGTATCAAGAATTGTTTCATAAAGCTATCATACAGATAACAATCTATTAAATTACAAATGGCCGCCTAAAAAATTAGAAACTATTGATTATCGTGGAAAATGGATAAACTATTCCTTCAAGAAGATTACTACAGGAAGATTACTTACTTGGGTGCACCTGTCCTTACGCAGTGAGCCGCATTCTGATTGTAATAGCAGTCTATATTCGAGTCTTTATCGCAGTTGTAATCCGGAAGGAAGCGACCTTTGTCGTATAAAGCGTGATCTAAAATGCAAGGACAGAGCGCTACTTCGGCGGCAAAGTTTTTGAGATACCGATCATGCATAATCCATCTGTCGCAAAGTCTCTGAGCCCATCGCGAGCCATATAATTGTTCCCATTGAGGGGCGAAGTACCAACCGAGCGGAATCGGCCTGCTCCACAAACTCCTACGTAAAATTAAAATCATTCAAATGTTATCTATGAATCACAGATCGAAAATATATCATTTTGCTGTTTGTTGTTTGAAACCTACGGTGTTATCGATAGTCCAGAATATAAGTGCGGTTCGGTTAAATTGATTTGGATGAAACCGAATATCATATCCGTATGGTATGGATTGTACGCATTCCGATATTTATCTGGTTTGATTACATATTTGCCATCATTAGTATGCGTGTTCTGAAACAAGTACAATGCGATTTAACTAATTGCTATTCTATTTTCTTTTGTCTCAAAAGTGTATTTGAGTAAAATCTATTTTACGAACATCCAACATCGTTATATACTCAAACTCTGGTCTCGTCTTGGTTTCTCTATATCCCCACAAAGAAATTTGTATCCCAGCTCCTATATTAGTAGTTAAATTATACGAGTTCCATGTAATTTTTATTTCTGATGGATATTTCAAATGAACGGCCTCTTTATCAGTGAAAAAAATTCTCTCCGTCGCCGTTGCTGGGGTTTCTACAAGTGGAAATTTCACGTTATTTTATTGCAAATAATAGAAACATTACCATATTAAACTATCACACATAATGAAAATAATAAAAAAAATGCATTAAAAAGCGATGGCGACATGAAAAATTTCATACCGACAAAATATTTTCCTTTCCAATCGTAAGTTCCACTGTCGATGGCAATGTAGAAACGTATATAGCCTTCGTACTTTAAAAATGGCTGTACACAAATCGCACGATTCTTATCTATCACTGTGCCCATTACTACTTCATTCTCGAAACGACATTTAATCTTCTGGCTTTCGTTGAAACACGGTCCAGTGATGTTGACGACGGTGCCACCCAACATATTTCCGGATTCCGGTGCGAAAACCAACGGCAGATGAGCTCCAGCTGTACATTATCACACGATAAGAGATAAAAATAATCATTCTTTATGTTATCATAATTACTAAGAATATCAAGCTCTTACAAATATCTTTGTTACAGGTGCCCAGCATTATTTTCTCGTCTATCCTGAAAATATGCCGACCTGGGAAACCGTTCGCCCATCCCCTGCTCGTTAAATCGCGAATCGTAGTCGTCTGAGAGTAAGGCTTATATTCATAACTCTGAGTACCATTTCCAGCGTTAAATCCCACCTGCGAGTTTTGCATGTAAATTTGTGTTTTATTAGATGAATTTCCGCTCGAAATAATTTCTATTTTGCTCTGAGCATTATCTTATATCTTAATTTTTTAACAATAAAATTATAATAAAATTTTAATAAAATTGAACTAAATAAAACGTAATATAAAATTTATATGCGATGGATACAGTCGTTCGCAATTACTTACAAATGCAGAAACTCCATTCTCGCCTTGTGTCGTGTCACCGCCTGCTTCAGTATGACTCGTCCATTGGAGGTTCAGATAATTAAATATTACGTAAGTGAATACTTCATCGGTTGCTAAAATCAGTTGAAACGTGTTGGTTTTATGAAGAGCTAAGTCGATACCACCCGTGAAAGACATGTTCTTCCAGGTTGCAATAAGGGCGTGCTTAGGTATGAATGAATCGGCACCGACAACACCCTCGCGGATGTCCCACATAACACGCTCTCGCATTTCTACGCCAAACTGATCGGTTCTCGCCTGCAAATCTCTTTCAAGCCTAAGAAACACAGTTATCTTTCATAAATCTCTTCGATTTTCGCAAATCTTTACATAAGATTGTAAAAATAATAGGAGCGATGTGCTCTTTTAATTTTTTAATTTTATATATACCTGAAATACACCCCCGGTTTTCTTCGATCAAGATCGGTTTCTCTTAACAACCCAATGCGACATTTACTGAAAAAGATGCCGATGAAGCTAGGATCATTTTTCTTTGGCCAATCCTTAATAGGAAAGACGAGTGGATACGTAAGGTGCTCAGGTGGATCGCTAAATTCCAAGTATCCATTAACAGTTAACTAAAACGTTACGTAACATTTTAATTGTCTTCGTACAAATCTTTGTTTATTATAAGATTCTTTTAAATTATTTCCATATTCGCATTCAAATAATTTAGATATTTCACAATTAACAGAAATAAATAATTTAAATAACTAATAATTAATTTAAAATTAAGCAAGTAATTGTACTATTAAAAATTATATAAATAAAGCAATCGTACTCTTGTATAATTGTATCTAAAGCCAAAGAAAGGCAACATGAAATTCAAATTTTTGTGTATTTGCAGATTTGTTGCCTGCAGAGCCGATTGATAATCGCCCTTATCATCGCTGCCACCCTTATCGAAGTACCAATACATAAATTCAGATCGAATTTCTTTCAATCTATCCGAATCTAATGTATAGAAAGGTGGATTGTCATCCGGACGAGGCGCGTACCTATAAGCGTCAGGTAACTTCGAGTCTGTGTACCAAAAAAAAAGATATCGATGAAATTGACGTTGTTAAAAAGATGAATGAAATAAATTAAACAATATTACACAATTGGATATCTCATGTATTTCTGTTTATAGACATTCTTGATTACATATATAACAAATTTCTAATGAAAGTTCCAAATGATATCATTATGATATTAAAAGAATAAATTGACATGCTTGATTGTACTAAAATCAGTCATCAGTTCTATGAGTTTATGATCTACCAAAATGGCTTGTCTCATCTAATGAATCATCCCCGATTCATGTTAAAGTGAGTAACTGATAAACACTCCATGTGATAAGCAGCGATATGGATTGTCTTTTATCGTACGGGAGAAAAAAATAAGTGAGAATTCGAATACCCGAGACTCGCGTTAGATTGGATTATTTTACACTGTCTCTTTGAGAAAGAGATATTTCAGAAAAAACATAATTGTTTAAAAAACTTTTTGATAAAAAAAGGATTCCGCAAGTAGTATTGCTATTCAATTGCTATTCATTATGAAACGATGGTCACGCCCATTGATAACAAATTACTTACCGTATCTTACATATTTCCCATTCTTCTCATTTGCCATTTTACCGGCAATGCTTTGAATGGGGGGCGATTTCGCCCCGGACTCGCCTTTCGCTGCGAAAGCATTTTCATCCGGCAATAGTTGCACCGGACTTTCTCCGTTGTCAATTTTCTCGACAGAAGTTAAGTCTTCCTCTTCCTCAGCCAAGTCTTCGATCTCCCTCCCATGAGAGACCTCCTCCGCTTCTTTCAATTGCGGTAGCGAACCAACATTTTCCCCCGTACTATGGTTCTCGATCGATTCGGGTAAATTCAATCCGAATGCACTTTCGAACGTCTCGGTTTTATTTTCCGCGATAATGCCATGTGGTGTTAATGAGATGAGACAAGCGAGAAGAAGGATCCATTTCGATAATGTGAAAATGCAATCGAGCTTCTTCGATGCTCGAAGTCGCATTTTCGTGGAGCGATAATGTACCAACTAATTACTTTAATACGCACGACGAGACTGAACTCAAATTCAGGTAACAGGTCGCGATAACGGTACACTGATATCATCGGCTCTAGTATGATAACATTTATCTCTTTACTACAGGTAGGTGCGTAGAATGAACGGGAAAGTAAGGATCCGCGCGTTCTACTTGTTTGAAGAAAAGGGCGTTTCCACCCACGAAAGTGTATTTCTTTTGCACGATTGAACAATCAAATTGTTTACGACTTACCGTCGTAAATACATCAAAATTCGATGTTTTAGAGGCAAATTATTTATTCGACTTCTGCAACTGTTATATTTACAAAGCAGATATTTTTAGTACGATTAGTTCGAAAATGTACCAAAATCTTCTTTTTTGTATTTTTGCGGACGATAGGTTTTACAATAAAACACGTGCAATATATATAGCAAATATTATATGAAGGCTACTTCATCTTTAAAGTCTTATGAATACTTTTTTTACACGAACGCATCATTTACGGTATCCGTTATATGCATAATAAAAATGTATGATGCTCTTATATCAATATTTCATATGGTTCAATCTAAAAACGCGGAGAAACAATGTCTTCTCTCCATTGTAATTTCCTAAAATGTATAATACGAATTTTTCGTGTTTAAAATATATTACGCTACAAATGCATCATAGAATAAATATACATATCAACAGTAATAGATACGTCTGCGTTATGTAGCATGTACAAGGTGTATTAATAGCATTCAATGCGTTCACATTTATATATTAGTCGAATTTTTCATTGTAATATTAAAAAAATTTTTACATCATTTTAATCGTATTAATAATATATATATATATATATTATAATATAATAATTATATAACTATTTCACTAAATGTAACAAACAAAAAATTGTTTACTCGCGCCTCGTAAATCGAACGCATCGAACATTACTAGTACACTTAGCTATATTGTTTAATTTGAATACGTTAAGCAACTTTCTTGTTTTTTTATGCATCATTTGGATTTTTAGATATATATCCTCTTGCAAGGATCTTAAAAGTAGGGGAAATTATGGATTTTTGTACTGCGACGGTATCTTATATATCAATATTGTCCAAATGTTTACAAAAAAATTATATTACACTTTTTTATGCTGTACGATGTTGTAAATCTTTTCGATTGACGGTATGTATCACAGAAGTAATCTACAAAAGAGTCACAGAAGGAATTCAAAAGAATTAAAAAAAAAAGAGATCTGAAAGAGACACATCTAAATTGCCTTTCGTGTGGAACCTACAGCAATGTCAATATAGCGGATATGAACCATACACTTGATCATTAAGTGAAAAGATTTTTTTATAACATTTTATTTGTAATGAAATAATCTCTCTGTTACTGATCGATTCTTTCTTTAACATTACGATGTCGAGGCATTATCTCCATTACTGTCCATATAGCCACCAGAACCGTTCATCACAAATGACGTTCCCAAACCATACAGGTGTCCACAATACTTTGCATCATCAATATTATCTTCGAAAAACATCTAGGAATAGAAATAAAAAACAAATTAGAATTCTGCATATAAATATAATATAAATATAATATAATATATATTGCTGTTTTTGTAATTCAATATTTAACACATTATATCTTGTTAATTATTTACTTCTCGCATTTTAAAAAAGACCATTCCAGTAAGAAGGGAATCGGAGCCAGCTTGATGCTGAGGGCCTACTCTTTGAATTTCCAGCTGTTCTGCCACTTCTTGTAAACCGCCTTTCAGATTCTTGCACGATTTCATTAAATACTGCATAAATAATATAAGAATAAAAGATATATTTTATACTTTATTTTTAATTAATTTCATTTTTCTTTAAAGTATTCTACTCACTTTTACATCATATATCGTCGGAAAGTATATCCTAAGAAGCTCGAAAAATTCACTTTCCTCCTGTGGCAATTTTTGATCTGTGAGGAGTTTTAGTAAGTAACCGAAGTCGTAGCCAGAATGAAAAGATAGCCATTTTATGTCATCAACAAGAACAATTCCTGATGTCATTAATAGCTCAGCAAACTCTAATGGATCGATGCCCTCCTCTTCGTGTTTCTTGAACTGTATACCACTATTTTGTAGCATGTCTATACTATCCTGTGCATACATGTCTTCACTAGCAACAATAAAATATATATATCTTATTATCAATGTTAAAAAAACATTAAAAAAAATGTTGAACGTAATTATAATAAAAGTATGTAATAAAGGATGATATAATAATTATATTAATATTAATATTAACATGAACTTACTGTAAATTGAATTTAAAATTAAATTGCCACGTTGTATAGCTACCGCCTGGCGTATTCCCCGACTCATCAAGGAATGTAAGACCAAGTTGAATTATTCGCAAAAGATCCACATTACAACGTAGAAGCTGGTATTGATAGTCGGCATTAGTCCTGAATTCTCCTGTTTCGAATAAAAATTTCTAATTTGTACATGGTGAGGTAATGGAATTCACGAAAGCAATTGGTTCATAATTAATAGATCTTGAGTTCAAATGCAGTTCTCACCTCACATGCTTTAATTAGAGGCTTAATTTAAATATATTAATTTAAATGAGATGTATAAGACATGTAATATATAATATAATATAATATATATATATATATATATATATATATATATATATATATACACACACATTGAATTCCACAGGTTATAATCATAAGTTAAATAACAGGAACTTGAAAGTGAGATTTCTTAAACAAAAATGTCTCTTGAAAGTTTATAGAATAAAATATATATACAATCTATGCAGAATTATAAACGCATATCCCAAAAAACAATTTTTTTATTTGTAATGTAGTTACATGGTTCATAATTAATTGCTTAATCATCAATTCTCAAAATTTTAAATCAACTTTTTGAACTTCAGCTTCCAGTACATATACATTCTTCACAAATTTTGTAAAAAGGCACATCATCTCTGGTACTGACCATACAATTGCATACTTTTCAATAGTTTCATATGTACTAACACATAATGTCACATGGAACTTCTACGATCTCCTTTATCACACTTGTATTTTCTTCCACTTGGAACCTGTTCTTTATTTACTTTGCTTCTATATTCCTGTAATAGGCATGTCCTATATTTATCAACTGGACACATAAATACATTTCACTTTCAATGTTCCTGTCCAGTATCGATATATGAGTCAATCTACGCATTACCAACAAATATATGTACAATACGCTATATGTACAATAATTTTTTTTATCACATTATATAGAAAGAAATGAAAAAGACATATCTTACGTACCGGTAGCTGAAGGCATATTTCTGCATTCACCGGGGCTACTTGTCTTCAAATTCCTTTTGTCACGGCCTTTCCTTCTTCATATCACTAAAAATTGCGAAAAATCCGTGAAGTAATCGCTTACGCAATGCCTGCAAGCGTCAGTGACCGAGGAAACCTCCAAGTCTCGTCCGCATCACGCAGGAGGTACGTCTCACAGAAATAACGGCTAGCACTGGACTCTCAGTCACTGCTGCAAGCAGGCAGGTTATGAGACGCGGGTAAACAACAACAGTTCATCACAGTGGACGTCGCGCGTGGGTGAAACGTGGACTGACACGGGGACGGACGCGGATGGCCGCATGAGGAAAAGCACAATCGGAGAATGATGTGGGACGGCAGTATTCGTTATTTGTTAGACAAGTTTTATTCATAGGGAATCGAAGGGGTTATGTGCCTCCGAATGATCAAGAATCTACGAGATTCATACACGACAATAAGTGGCGGTACATACCTTGCGATGTGATATCCCTCTGGTCAGCAATGTCTGTATACGAAAACGATTCGATCGAGGCTGCACCTTCGGACCCTACAATTCTGTTATGTCAAATCATGAACAGTTTTAAACGACTTTCTCGACTCGCGAGCTCGGTACGCGGGACACAAGATACAGGCGCTTCGGTCGCTGATATCTACTGACAAGGTACCTCGAAAGCTGGATTATAGGAGTGTGCCTGTGTGTTAGTGTGATCCACAGCGGACGGCGTGGGTCTGTGCACTGGCGTCCTCTCAGCGAGTTTATCATTACTACGAGAAGCTGCAAGCCGTAGCAGGCACGGATGGTAAGGAACAGGAAAGAAACATGCAAAACATGAAATGTAAGATATAATCATATTTGTATAAATTTCATGTTAAATAGGACGAATATCGGAATTGCGCTACTAAACGTCGATAAGAATGATAAATTTGACAAGATTTAGAATGCATATATAATTGAATCACTTTGCATATGCTTCACAGCTAAAAAAAAATGATGATTCTATCGAAATCTATATCTAGATCTATGGAATATTTGATAATAATAAATTATAAAATAAATATTAAATTAGGTGACTCCAATAATAATACATGTAAATTCTGAGAATATACAGATGCTGCAAAACAGTATATTTTTTATTTATTATTTTTACTTTATATTTGAAATATATCCACACAGCACAAATGTTCAAGAAATATTCTAAAGATGTCTGTAGATGTTCGAATATCTGTAGGACATTTTTAGAATATTTTTGGATTAGTTCCATACAGCATTAGTGCTCTATGGAACAATGTACTAAATATAAACATATTATTCTAGTAACAAAAAACTGGAACATACGAACATTTTTAGTTTTTTGTTATTAGAATAATATGTTTATATTCTTAAAACTTACATGTATTATTGGCGTCAACTTGTAATTTAATATTTATTTTATAATTTATTATTATCAAATATTTTATAGATCTAGATATAGATATATCTTTTCGACATGATAATCATTTTTTTAATTGTGAAGGATATGCAACATGATTTAATTATATATGCATTCTAAATTTTATCAAATTTATCATTCTTATTAATATTTAGTAGCAATTCTGATATTTTATTTATTTCTGATGTTTTACACATAACATGTATATCTCAAATATATAATAATATATGATAAATATATTTATACAATATCTTCAGATATTCTTAGACTCTATATGTGAAATTAGGAAATCATTCAAATTTTTGCTGTTATTATTATTTAGTTTTTATATTTAATAATATCTTAGTATTTTAAATTATATGTGTTATTGCAGCTTTGTTTATAAAGTAAATGAAAGAAAGGAATTATTAAATATTACTTTTTGGTATTGGAAATTAATTTATTTTATCTTGCATTTAAATTATATTTCCTACAATAAAATTTTATAATTTTATACAATATATAACAATGCAAATGCGAATAATGGATTGTGTAAATACATTATAATTTTATTACGGACAATTTACAGTCTTGCATTATCATACCGTGATGCGAGATATGATGGATCGGCTTGCCGTACAAATTAATATATACTGTTTCATTGCGTTCCTTATTATTCCTCATATATTACAATTGGGTGTTTTCTTCATGATAAAATTGCAGAGCGATATATGTAGCAAGTTGTCCTTACTCCATAACTTAGAGCAACTTCCTCTATAGCATCTATCTCGTTCATGCAGGAAGTTATTCTAAGTTATGCAGATCACAAAGTGATCGTCTTTGCCGTTGTAAATTGAAAGGGCCGGAAGCGATCAAGCGTACGCTGATGGAAGCTAATGCCTTTCTATCAAAAGAAATAATGATGGCCATCGATTGTGACAACGTTATTTCGCGCCATACTCAAAATAGGATACAGTAATATTTAATATTTGATATTTGCCTTCGATTCGAAAATATTTTCTCTATTTTACTCCATATATTTTAAATGCACATTTCCTTTACAATGAAACAAAATGTCAAATGTTTAGAGAAGGGAAAGAGAAATACAAAAGTTATATAAGTTATATAGTTGTAGGATATTTACAACAAACCTTATAATAATGATATGATATGATAAATCTGTGGTACGTTTAATACAAATCATAATATCTCTGAAATTGTGAAATATTTGCTTGTATGTTAATATTGAGGAAAGGGAAAAAACAGGGAGAAAATAATAGATTATAAGCAAGATTATAAGCAGTTTTTTTATTTTATATATACGTATTTTATATATACGTATATATTCTGTTATTTAATTATAAGAGTTACTTCTATTAGAGTATAAGAATAAAACATATATGTTCCTTATTAAAATCTTCGCAAAATCTTTTGTTTAAGCCCTGTCTATCATCATGCATGCCTCTTCACACAAGGCCATACTCTTAAAATTGTTTGCATTTCCTTGACAACCGGTATATATGAATCGCTCGCATTGTCCTGATATTGAATTATATCCATATCTCGTTATATATGCTTTGCAAGGACCTCTTTCTATGGGCAATTGACAAGCTGAAATAAATACGACACTGCATTAAATTATGCACGACAAAATCTCTTCACCAACGTTCTCATGTAACATACGAAATGTATGTTCTCATTGTAATATAAAATTGAATTTAATAACTTCAATTATTTTACATTGGATTTATGTCTATATGAATTTCTTAATAAAATTTATGTTATAATTATATATTTATGTAATATATTGTAATAACAAACAAATAAATGAAAAATACTATATATAAAAACGAGGATATTACCTGATTGTTGTTGAGCCGTAATCTCATGCATTATTATGCTGATGATAATAAGCACAAATAAATTTGATTTAAGACCCATTTTACGTATGATTATGATATTCTGACTTTTACAATATTCAAATTTTTAATATTTTCTTGCGAGTTAATATTTTAGAAAATCTTATTGCCGATGATCGACATGTACTGATCTGAAAAGTCGCAGATCCTATTTAAATATTATTTCTTGCAAACAGTAAAATAAAGGAGGGGATTATCTTTACGATGAATAAGTTATACAGTCTAATCTTATTTACGCAATAAATTTTTAAATAGATAACGTAATGCATCCATGCGAAATTTACGACATTTTTACGTCGTCGGCATCGTTTATCATCTCCTGCGTGTGTATTGTAAGAATAACAGCTCTGATAA